ACCCCATTTAATCTTGGAGCCAATCCGAATCACAGAGCAGATACACAGATTATTTTTTTTTCTTTTGTTAACATTGCACGATAGAGCATATGGGTTTGGCAGGGGTCTGCGCTGTCTGAGTATCCTTGTTGTTTGTCAATTATTGTTCAGATTGTCCATAATTTCCTTTCACTGTTGAGAAATTATTTTTAAAAAAATGCTGCATTAAATGTAAATAAATACAGTGATAATTTGCAAATAATTTTCGACCCATATTCAATTGAATGCAGTACAGACACAAGATATTTATTGTTCAAACTCATAAAGTTTGTTTTTTGTAAATATATACAGTCATTCTAAATTTGATGGCTGCAACATGTGACATCTCCTTTTCTTTTAATGAGACTTGGCATTTGGGAACTGAGGACACTAACTGTTGAAGTTTGAAAAGTGAAATTCTTTCCCATTCGTGCTTGATATACAACTTCAGTAGCCCAACAGTCCAAAGTCTCCTTTGTTGTGTTTTGTGCTTCATTATGCGCCACACATGTTAAATGGGAGACAAGTCTGGACTGCAGGCAGGTCAGTCTAGTACCTGCACTGGTTTACTGCAAAGCCACGCTGTTGTAAGACGTGCCGAATGTGACCTGGCATTGTCTGTTTGGAATAAGCAGGGACGTCCCTGAAAAAGACGGTGTCAGGATGGCAGCATATGTTGCTCCAAAACCTGTGTGTACCTTTCAGCATTTATTTGTACCTATTTTCACTCCGATCTCGTCACATATTGACGCTTGATCATGAACTTTCCATGTTGAGATATGACGTGCAAGGTACCCTTGGTGTGTTGGTTGCTGATGTTCTGGGACACCATGTTAACTTCTGTCTGTTACAAGCATTGTCTGTTTTCAGAATACAGTTTGCATACAGTGTCTTTCAAAATAAAGACATTATGTTGGTACAACACCAAGAAATGACATTGGTTTCCTTCAACAACTAAGGCACGTGGTCAGGTTTAGGCAACAAAAGCACATAGTTGGGTTTAGGAAAAAAGAAAAGGGTTTGGCTTTACAATCTTATAGGAGGCGAACATCAGCTTCTTGGTTGAAAATCGCTGGTTGTTGAACCTACCTGCCCTGCTTGGATTTCTGCCGCCTTAACTTTCGTTGTTGTCATGTTGCGTTTGCCCCTGACACTGCCAGGAGCCATTAAACAATTTAATGGCGACCAGCTGTGCATCATGCCAGCATTTTTCATTGGTGTCTGACACCGGAAGTCATTGACCAAGCGCCAGTTTTCGACTCACTTCAGAGTGGGACCAGATTGTCGTTAGTGTTGGCCTGTCTTTATTCATCAAAAAAATGTTGATTTAATAAAACAGATGACCTCATTTAATCTGATGAATCACTTTATCCAAGTTGATGATTTTGTTTGAGGATTTTTCATTATTGTTGTTTTGTTTTTTTGTTGGGTGATGACGCTGTAAAATTTGATGACAAACATTCAAAGCTTTATTGGAAAACCTAAGTTGAACCTTAGAATGTAAAAAAAAAAGATTATAAAAGATTAATTATACCAATATGTACAGTATCAGTACAAACAACAGCAGACACAGTGGAATTATGCCAATATGCACATGTAAACAGTCCCGATTCTTGAATAAACTGTACCTTATGGAAATGATGCGGCCGGTTGGAGCTCAAATTGAATGGGAAACAAAGTTCAGTGTTCACTTAGCTGTGCGATGTCCGTGGATAGCTGCCTCCGTGAGAAGAGAACAGAAGGAAGGGAGGGGGGTATCACTGTTCGAGGGCTGCCGTAGAATGGCAACAAGGATGTCAGCTGACCAACACTCGCTACCCGCTCCCTGGTTGCGGCGATTTGCGATGCTGGCCAGCTAGGAATGAACTAGCAGCCAGTACAGTTCAGTCCTCTCTGGTCTAGCTAACATTTAGCCGTGTTACTTACTGATCCATTAGAAAGAAAGCTAGCTGGACACCCGTGTTGAAGCCTCTTTGGGCACGGAGCTCCCTCCATCTCTTGAACGTCTGACTGAGGTTTACTCTTGTTTTTCCTCTTCTTTTATCACTCTCCTTTTTGTGCATCCTCGCCTCCTCAGACAGAGGAGCTCCTTTTCTTTTGCTAGGCCGTTTTTCACTTGTCTCCAAACTTTGTCCGTCTGCCATTGTGCTCATGACTCAGCTCCTTATAAGGACCAGCTCCAGTCCCTGATTGGCTGACCAACCAATTTCCCAATACATGACACGTTTCCTGTCGTAAACCAGATTTTTTCCACGAAATTTCGGCACCAGTGGCAGAAGCTTATTACAAAGATTGCAAAGCCACTAAGTAACCTATGTAAATGCTGATAGTTTGATTTTACTGTGGCCACTACCCTGTGCAACCCACATTATTTTCATAATGATATATTTAGGAAAAGATGCTATCTGTTGCTTCTTTAAGTATGCCCTATGACAGAGCAGTACGTGTAGTGCACAGATGATTCACCTGGCAAATGTACACTATATATAATTGTTTTATTAAGACATTGGTACGAGGAAACTAGCAGCCTTACAAGTTGAAGAATTAGAATCATTCACCTCGAGAGAGCTGGTAATTTGGTTAGCAACATGGAACAGCAGCCTGGATGTGTCGTTCTGGGGATTACCCTCATAAAACTTCAGTTTACTACTGCTGCTGGAAACCCAATAAAAAAAGAACTGCTGCACATCTAACTTGTTTTCTAAAGAGTGTGTTTCACTTTTAGATGTTTGTGTTGTCAGAGCTCTTGTAATTGTGAAGCCTATTTGACTCTGCAGAAATATGATGTCAGGTTCAGCTGATAAAAGAGAGCAGCTCCATGTTCTGCACTGCTCTCTTGGTGTAATGTCTCAGCCTATTTTGAACCCCTCGTTCTGTCTCAGAAGCACCTCCTGAAAGTGCTCATCAAGACGAAATCCAATTAGAGAGAAGGAAGTAGTCGCCCAAATCTCTCTGCTCTATGTGCTCTTATTTTCCTCCAGTGCCCTTGGGCTTTCGATTTATTGAATAATTAATTGCCTCAGTCACATTTGCACATACAGTACAGACGTGTATGCTCTCACGCACACACACATTTCACTACACTTACCTCCAGTTATACGAGTCTCCCTAACTGTGTTGACTTCCCATTTAGTGAATGAGTTCTGCTTCATTTATGGAGCTCGTTTATATTGTGCCCCATATGATATTAATTTGTTCTATTTCCACCAATATCATAAACGGGCAAACCAGCTCCCCATTGTGGATGAAGGGGTTTACATTTCATGTTGTTTTTTACTTAAAGGCATACTTGCCTGATTTTCAACTAGCACTGTATCATAGCAGTGTTTATAGTATGTGTAAATGCACTGTGATAAACTTCACTCCATATTTCCAGCACCCAGATCTCCCTGCCTTTGGATTTTTGCTGGCTCTAGGGCTGTTGTTCAAACTACAGATTGTACTTCCTTATTTTTGTATGTCTACAGCCACCATGGACACAAAGAGTATAGAAGTGGATAGAGAGAGAAACCCATCTCTCTCTCAAACTCAAACCAAACTCAGATCAGACTGTGAAACGAGGAAGCATTGATTAATTCTGTTACTACTGTCTTAAAAAAAACATATTTCAGTTTACTGTTTGGCTGTAATATGAGAGTTTGTGAACAGGAAGTGGGCGCCATACTGTTTCCTTTATTGTAAAAGGTTGACACTAAAATGGATCATCCTGGAGGGACACTGTGCCACAGTGCTCTGATTGGCTAAAGTGGGAAACGCTGTTCATCCAGTCATAGCAAGCAAACACTCGGAGAGCAGGGGCAGGAAATCCCAGAAAAATTACACAATGTGCAGAGCTCCACATCCAGGGGTATGATGCTGGAGAAAAGCTGACAGACAGTCCTTTGCTGTGGGCATGGACTGCCTGCTGCCCTCTGGCTCTCTCTCTGGTCCTCTGGTGCAGGAGCAGAGCACGGTCTGGATTAGTGTGACATGCTGGGGGCTTCACTGGGGCAGGAGAGGTGGATGAGAAGGGAGCCGTGGCCCCATATACTGTAGCATATTGTAGGCTCCACATCCAGGGTGCAGGGACACTTGAAGCCAGCTGACAGTGGACACCCAGTTGTGGGCATAGACCCCTGGCTTGACTCTCAGCCACCTGGCTGTATCCCACAGCTCCAACGCAGAAAGTCAGCGAGGCCTGTTTCCATGGCTGTGGGCCCTCTGTCGCCTCCCATCCAGTGTCCATGTACCGTGGCTGTGGTCGAAATCAGCATTTGCCTCACAGCAGAACAACCAACCACAACAGTGTAGTTTCTCACAGTGCCTCCAACAACCCTCCAGACCATCCAATCTAGCTTCAACCATTTTAAAAATGGCTGAAAAAACTGATATCAACCGGTAACACGACAAAGTGCTGATAGAATATGAACTAAAATTATGTTACTGCATTGCCTATTTCTCACCTGAAATGTCTTCAGACGCATGATTTTAGCTTACCCTTTAACTGTAGTTTGAGATTGTTTGTGACCACCTAGCTGGCTGCCATATTGTTAGTTGGTAGTTATAGGTTTTCTTCCTCTTGAGCAAAAACAGGCCTTTGCCTCTGCTTTCTCTTTTCACGTAGCATCAATTTTAAAAGTATTTGCGTCTCTCTACTGAATAGACAGCCTGGTTTTATGAAAAGACCAGCTGTGAAATACTTCTTTCATTTCAAGTTGACAAGAGGATTTATGCACCTCATAACTTTATTCTTGATAAATGGCTAATGTGAATGAATGCCTGATAGTCGGTCTTACGTACATTGATGTTGCAGTGATTGTAAAATCGCACATGTGAGTTCCCCCTGCTGATAAAGCTTGTTTAGAAAGGTGTGTAATGTGTGGAGCTTCGAAACTAGTGTTTGTATTCATAATTAATCTTCCAAAAAACCACAGGGGAAAATCCTCCTCAGCTGCTGCCTCTCCTTCACTGCTGTCTGAATGTTTCCTTCTGTTGTCTCTCAGGGAGAAGATGCCATTCCACCATGTGACGGCAGGCCTGCTCTACAAGGGGAACTACCTGAGCCGCTCACTGTCAGACAGTGACAGTGACGTGCTGGCCAGCATCTCTGTGGAGGAGCTTGATGGTAAGGCTTCTCAATAAATTGTCTGGCTGCTGTCCTGCCTTATGCTTAATGTCCATTTAAAATGATTTGGCTGCTGCTGCTGCCTGCCTTTCAGCCCCCATATTGGCAACATTTTACTTCGGATGAAGATGAGCAGATGATATTTTAACATCTAGTGTATGTTGTTTCTGTAACCTGAAAAACATAGTTGATGGATTTGTTTCAAGATGATACATGCATTTAGTAGCATTTTAGTAAAAGTCATAATCTAAACCAGGGGTCTTCAGCATGTTTCAGGCCAACGACCCCTTGGCTCAAAGACAGATGGAACAGGGACCCTGCATATTAAACTGGTCCTACAATAACGTGCAAGGCGGCTTAAAGTGCCATGTATAAACATTCCTTTTAAGGGTGCATACAATACTAAGCTATTAAATTAACTATTGGCAGATTCATATATTTACACATAATGTTTTAATGTTAGGCATACATGTGGGAGGCACAGTGAATCCTTAACTGTATTTGTGGATGGAAACGTCAGTGAGATGTCTGATCCTGGTGTTCAAGACTTTACAAATCATGAATATAACTACCATGATGTAACCCATTGGTCTGTGGACTGCCGTTTTGAAGCTTCAAGTTTGGCATTTTGGCCATCGCCATCTTGTTCTTTTGTAGCCAGAAATGACCAAATTTAAATGAGAGGGTGAAGCTGTGGAGGAGCGAGGGGTGGATCTGACTCAGACTGTGGTAATGCCTCACAGAAAGCCTGTCACTCAAAGTGGCCCGCTCTTACTGTAATAATGCAAAACTTTTGGCCTTAACAAGATTTAAATGAGGCGGCACGAGGGTTGCCGGTTCGATCCCGGGCGTGGGAGCCCTTGTGTGCGGAGTTTGCATGTTCTCCCCGTGTCAGTGTGGGTTCTCTCCGGGCACTCCGGCTTCCTCCCACAGTCCAAAGACATTCACATGCAGACTGGGGACTAGGTTAATTGGTGACTCTAAATTGTCCATAGGTGTGAATGTGAGTGTGAATGGTTGTTTGTCTCTATGTGTCAGCCCTGCGATAGTCTGGCGACCTGTCCAGGGTGAACCCTGCCTCTCGCCCGATGTCAGCTGGGATAGGCTCCAGCCCCCCCGCAACCCTCAAGAGGATGAAGCTGTTAGAAGATGAATGAATGAATGAAAGATTTAAACGAGTGAGTTATATAGAGTGACCATATTTTGATTTCCAAAAAAGAGGACACTCGGCCGGCCATGACATAGCCTACTTACATGATACTCGCAGTTTACTCAAAGATGCCTTATAATTTTAATATATTTAAAGTTTATATGTATGGATAGAAAATTCAGTTATATTACAAAATAATATCTCTCAAAGACAGAAATTCAGATAGGCCCCTATAGATAGGGGACACATACACACACTAGAGTGTGGCGATCCGAGCTCGATGGGTCCCAGCGGGTCGGGCCGGGTTTGGTCAAAAATGTATAAATTGTATTCGGGCTCGGGTCGGATTTGGTCAGCTTTCAGTGAAAATATAGTGTAAAAATAAATAAAATTCTATTGTCTGTCCTGTTTATTGCTTGGGCATTGTTATTCACGTGACAACACCTGAACACAACACACACACATTGGCTGTTTGTTTCTATCTCTCTCCTCGCTGGAAGTCTCGGACCTCCAGCCACCCGCCTCCGCCTTGATTAAACACTGAAAATAAAATAAAAGATGGAGACAGGTTTTTCCTATTTTATCTTATTTTGTTATATTTCTCTCTCTCCTCTCGCTAGAAGCCTCGGACCTCCCGCCTCCCGCCCCAAACACGGAGGTCTCCCTCTCAGCGGAGTACCCACGGCGCACGTGGCCTATTAAATAGCTTGTAACCATAACAACTGTGTGACACAAACTCAGTGCTTTAGTCATTAAATAATGTAGGGCTCGGTTCGGTTTCGGACATAACAAAACAGAATGACTGACGTGTTCGGACAGAAATATGCAGCCCGTGCCACACTCTAACACACACACACACACACAAACAAGGAAAACTGGACATTATCATCAATTTATAAACACCCCCCAGACGCCCCGGACAGGACGTGAAATGTGGACATGTCCGGGCAAAAGAGGACGTTTGGTCAGCCTAGAGTTATACAAAAATTCACCCCCTGTGCAGCTGTCATGAACGGGGAAATAAGCCATTGAACTCCAAATTGTTTTTTTGTACAAGGCTGTAAACATTTTTATTTCTGCTGTAAAGTTGTGCATTTTAACAGAGAGATCTGTGGGGATTGACTCACTTCTGGAGCCAGCCTCAAATGGCCATTTAAGAAACTGCACTTTTCTGCACTTCTAGGTTGGCTTCATTTTTCAGCCCTGGAGGTTGCCACTTGGTTTGTGCTCACTCATAGCTGCTAAGTCAGCAGCAGTTGTAGCATGGCTAGATGTGTTAGCCTCACCCTCTGTATTTCACTGGTAGTTTCTGAGGTGGTCAGTGTGTCAGATTCTCATGCTTGAAAAGTTACAAAACTATCCTTTGTGGCTCACTAGAATGTTTGTATTGTTGGAGTAAAAATACAGCTATCTGACCAATTTGGTTTTATAGTACCTATCGGTTAGCTTCTAGTTCATCTTGCCATTGTGGATTGGTGACGCACAGTGATTTATCCTCAGTTAGCTCACATGATTGCAAATCATCAATACTGTACACTGTAAATTAAATGTTGTTGTTTTTTTCTTTCTTATGAATAGGCCGATTTGTGTCTGTGCTAGCAATATGTTGGATTCATGTCAATGTGTATTTTTAGAAATATTTAAATAAAAAAACAAAACAACTTAAAGGTTCAGTTTGTAGGATTTAGGGTGATTCATTGGCAGAAATTGTACAATTGTGTTTTTCTTGGTGTATAATCACTTGAAAAAAAAATAGTTGTGTTTTTGTAACCTTAGAATGAGCTATTCATATCTACATAGGGAGTGGGTCCTCATCTGCAGTGTCCGCCATGTTTCTACAGTAGCTCAGAATGGACAAACAAAACACTGGCTCCAGGTAGGGCCATTCACAGTTTTGCATCAGCTACCGTAGTTAGCAGCCCCTCTGTTACAAGCTGAGCAGCATCAGAAAAATGCTGATTTGTATTGTCGGTTTTAATCACTGGGTCTGTTTATTTTGAAGAGGAAGAGACCTCGTTGGAAAATTTAGCTCCTGGTAAAAACCTCTTGAATTATGAACACTGAAGGAATCCAAATTATGTTGTGCACCTCCTTCTTTAAATTAGAATTAGAATTAGAATGAATTAAATCAAACAATAATTTGGCACCCCCCCCAGCAGTAACTCTGAGGATCCCAGAAACCTGAAACAAATAAGCTCAAAAGTGCAAGGACTAAAACAAAGTTAGAGTAAAATACTTGCACCTGAAATATAGCGCTGCATACAAATTATATAAACTCACTGCAGCTTCATGCTTAGTTACGCTTCATGGCGGCTTGAGGGGAATGTAGAACCAGAACTAAGAGAAGCAGTTGCCTAAAATAAAAAAAAACAACAACACTGGCTGCATAGATGTTGAGGATTTAGTAAATCTTTGACTTTACAGTGTGTAATGATAAAATGTAAACAAAGGTTAGGAACCAGAGGACAACAGGAGAAGCTCAGCCTGTCACATGACTTTAAGGCAGATCAGACGGTCACACTGTGAGAGCCACTGCGTAAAAATGACTATTTTGGGCAACAAGCCTGTACACACTGCGGAATCCCAAACCCATATGGAGCTTCGTTTTTCAGAAAATATTTCCAGTTACTTTACAGATCCATAAATGATGTGGCATACAGGAGGGCAACAAGCAGATAAACTGGTGACAGGCTTTGTTTTAAAGTACATGTGCTGATTTCCCAGTCGCCCCAGTCAGTTTTATAGTCCGTAACATTTTTAAAGAAGATACAATGCTCCAAAACCAGCAGCAGCATCCTCATCTGAGCCAACAAAGCACAATGATGCATTATTCTCTCTACATAGTTTATCTCACCGGGAGCATTCGCGGTCTGCTGGCTTCAGACTTCAAGTCTGTGCTGTTGCTGATTCTTTGTTTATGAACCCATTGTTTTCGAGTCTGTCTGGGAGTAATCACCTGTGTCTGTAGAACACAAACCTGATCAATTACAGTCTGCCAGAGTCAGCAGTGGCAGTCTCACAGGCAGCAAACAAACTAGACTCCCCCAGACCTCCAAAATATTAATCCATTGATGCAACATTAAGCTGCCGCCTGGAAAATTGGCTGCACAGCACACGGTAATAGCCAGATAGTCTGTCAGGGTCGAGTTTTAATATGCATGGAGATATTTGCAGCATATGAATTTCTCCTTCTTGTTTCATATCGTTTTGTGAGTAAGTAGCTGCTTATGGTTAGAGTCCTCATGAGGTCAACTAAACACTGAAAGTGACAAACTGTAGCCTGTCAACACTATAATTACTGTATGAGTATTTACTACACACTATGTGTTGGATGAGTGGTGGTATCGCAGTGGGCTTGCTGCTAGAAGGTCAGCAGCAGTTTGAATGTTTAGATTCTCTGTAGTTATCCCAGATCTGAGTGGGAGAAATTAGTCATTCATGCCTTAACAGTTATTGAAGTGCTTGTCAGCAAGGCACTTAATCCATGAAAAATCACACCCATTTTCTCAGTGTCATAAATCAGTCAGACCACAGTGCACAGATGTCACACACCCACGCTCTGCTGGGATCACCACAGATTTCTCTCCTCAGTGATGTCCATTGAGGATTAAATGGTTGTGAATTGACTTGAAGATCTTCCTCATAAGATCTTTTTATCTTTTTTCTCAAATTTTTAATCAGCCGGAGTGCAAACACATTGCTACTTAACTGATGCCAAATAGGCTAAAGAAAGGGACTCACACTGTACTGAGTTCATGGCATCAGTGTGCTTCCTGTTTGAGTCCTAAGTATGGCAGTTGTAACACTGGAACCGAAAACAAATTCATTTGAAATTAAAATAAGAAAATAA